CAGCAGCAGCAGCAGCAGCAGGGGGGGTGGGAGGGAGGGGAGCTGACTGTGGAGCAGCTGTCGGCTTGGGGGGATAAGTTCAGCAGCAAAAAGAGCCACGGAGAAGCAGCAGCTCTTTTTCAAAAACATCTTCACTTCAAAACTCCTTTTTGGCCAAATGCAATAATGCAAATTGCAAAAGAATTCAACCAGCAGTGTCAGCAGCAGGGCAGGCCCCAGGACATGGTCCCTGAGGAGTGGCTTTGCGTGCGCCTGCTGCTGCTGCTGCTGCTGCTGCTGCTGCTGCTGCTGCTGCTGCTGCTGCTGCTGCTGTTTGGGGGGCTATTTTGGAAGGGTTTCTGGTGGATGCGTGACGAACTGCTGCTGCTGCTGCTGTAGCTGCTGCTGGTCGTTTAGCTGCTGCTGCTGCTGCGGGAGCTAACGCGGGGCAGTCCAGTTGCTGTTTCTGCTGCAGCAGCTGCTGCTGCAGCTGCTGCTGCTGCTGCTGCTGCTGCTGCAGTGGCTGCTGTTCCTGTCGGTGTGCTTTGCACTGCACAGGACACAATATTTTGTGACGAGAAAGGGATCGTGTTGAGAATGAGAGTAAGCAAAGAATCTGGTGCACGCGGGGCTCTAGGGTTTAGGGTTTAGGGTTTAGGGTTTAGGGTTTAGGGGGGGTCCTGTGACGCCTCTTTAAAATTGAATTAATTAAAACAATTAAATCAGATAAATGGCAGCAGCAAGTTAATAAATGTTTTTGACTTTTTAAATTGAATTGTTTTTGAATTTCCCTCCAAGTCAAAACAGCCGCACTTGGGGGTTTCTGAAATTGGCCAAGTGGGGTATTAAAATGAATAAATTGACTTCGGAGTTTATTTAAAAGAAATAATTCATTTTTTGCAATTAAAAACAATTTATTTTCTTTTTTTTGTTTTCTAATTAGGAAAACAGCCCCCCTTACGGCGGCGAGGACGAGCCCGAGTCGGGTGTCACTACACCTGAACTGTTCAAAATAAGAAAACAGAAAATGGAAAAGTTTAAACCGCATCGTTTCGTCGTAACGGCTCCAGTGCGCAAATAAATGGAATAAATCAAAAAATGGAATTTTTTGATTTATTTAAAACAAATCTACTCTGAATAAATATCCAATTTGCAGCTTTCTGAATGGTCTCTGGTTAACTCCAATTTGTAAAAGAGCTTTGATTCAAATTGCAAATAACTTTTAATTCAACTTCAATCAAATCCTTTAAAACAAATTATTTTATTTCTTTTTCCTTTATTTTCCACTTCTTTGCCGCAGCTTTGCTGCGCGTGGCGGCAGCCGCGGGCCCCAGAACAGAAATTAAATGCAACTGCCTCAACACAATGGCCGTTTAATTTGTCATTAATTAATTAATTAATTAATTAATTAATTGATTGATTAATTAATTATTTAATTTAATTAATTAATTTAATTAATTAATTAAATTGATTTGGGAAGTTTGAGGCATTTTTCTGCTGTTTGTTTGCAGGCCGGGTATATCGCGAAGGCCGGGATTAAAGTGAGCCACTTCTAGCGAAACGCCTTCAAACTGGATTTTAATTCATTTAAATTAATTTAAATTAAATTGAATTTCAATTTTAAATCAAATTAATGAAACTTTTGTAAATATTCTGAGAAATTTGCATCATTTGAGTAGCCACTTGTAAGTTCTTTTCATTTATCTCAATTAACATTTTATTCATTTAAATAAATAAATAAATAAACATATACTCTGAATAGATATCAATTTGCAGCTTTCTGAATGGTCTCTGGTTAATTCAAATTTGTAAAAGAGCTTTAATTCAAATTGCAAACTAACCTTTCATTCAAATTCAATCAAATCCTTGGAGTTGTTTTTAATTTAAAAGGCTTTGGCTGCACTTATTTTCAATTTAAAAGCTCTAAGTTGCGTTTATTTTCGATTAAAAAAGCCTAAATTGCATTTCTGTTCAATTTAAACGGTTTAAATGCCAATTAAAAGGTTCAATTTGCATTAATGTTTAGTTAAAAGGTCCAAATGTCTTTAAAATGGTCTAAAATGTTTTTATTTTCGATAAAAAGGTCCAGATCTCCATTAAAATGGTCTTAAATGGCTTTATTTTCCGTCAGAAAGCTCCAAAATGCATTAATGTTCAATTATGGAGGTTCAAATCTCTTTAAAATGGTCTAAAATGCCTTTATTTTCGCTAAAAATGGTTTAAATGGCATTTATTTTGCTGCGGGGCCCCACAGATTGGCACTGTGCTGCCGCTGCTGAGCAAAGAAAAAATGGAGAAGATTTTCGACAATCATTTTGCGCAGCCGAAGAACTACAGAGAGCCTCTTTTGCTGCCGGACGGCCGCGTGATAAAATAAAGGGCATTTTGGCCATTTTTTGCACTTTTAGACAAAAAAGAAGTCCTTTTTCCCCTTTTTGGAGAGTCTAACTTTCTTGTCTTTCTCTGAATTGCAAAAAGGAGAAAAGAACCTTCTTCTTCGCTTCAAATTGGGTCTTTTAGCACTCTTTTCTTCCTTCTAATCTCAAAGAGAAGAAAAGAATCTTCTTTTTCGCTTCAAAAGAAGTCCCCCCTCCTTCTCTTTGAAGCTAAAAAGGTGATATAAGACTTTTATCTTTTTCTTTTTTAAAAAGCGCATTTGAGACTTCATTTATCTTTATTTCTCTTTTCTATTTAAAAAAGACAATTTGGCCTCCGTTTATCTTTTATTCTCTGTCTCTTCATTTTTCACTTTTTGCGTCTTCCCCTTTTGTATTTTCCAAAACTACCATTTCACTTCACGCCCGCTGTACGTACACCCGAAGCTGCATGCGCCTCTCAGGAACTTCTCAGTTTTAATTTCTCTTCGCAAATACCCAAATGAGCAAATCCACTAATAGTGCACTCACGCATACAGGTATTCAGATATATATATATTATATAATATATAGAATATATATTATATATAGAATATATATAATATATAGAATATATATTATATATAGAATATATATAATATATACAATAATATAGAATATATATAATATATACAATATATATAATATATATATTCTATATATTATATATTATATATATGTACAAATATATATATATGTATATTTGCATGCACGGCGTTCAAAAGCCACTTCAAGTTCCCATAGATAGCACACACCGCGCATTTCGGAAAAACAAAACAGATGCTGCATATTACTTTTTGAGAAAGCAAAATAAATAAAATAAAACAAAATAAAAAGAAATGAAATGAAATAAATGACAAAAGACTCCCACTGCAATTTGAATTTCTCTATTTCGTCGCGGAAGCCTCTCTATTGGGGTGTACAGACACCTCGCATCGAGTGCAATAAGGCAATTCTTCTCTTCTCGTTCAAATGACTTTTGGCATTTTAAATAGTTCAAATAGAACATAAAAGTAAATACTTTGCAAATAATTCTCTATTTTTCCCTCCAAATATTCTTTTGCCGGCTTTTCCCTCCCATTCCCTACAGCTACGTTGCGTTTGCGGTGTACGTACACCTGAACTGCAGCCCCAAACTGCCAATCTACATTTTTCGAGTCTGCCAAAAAGCCTCCACTTCAAAGCTGAACTAAACTGAGAACAGCCTGCTGCTGCTGCTGCTGCTGCTGCTGCTGCTGCTGCTGCTGCATTGGGGACAACAAAGGCAATAAAGAGATGCAACTGTTGAGGGTTCTGTCTCAGAAAAACAGAAAGAGCCAAAAATGCAAAAGTGCAAATTCAACTCCAAGTCCCTCATTTCCTTCACTTGTGTTTCTTCTTGTCCATCCGCCGTTTGTAGAACAGCAGCTCTTCGCCCTGCAGCAAAAGAGGAGTTTCATTTAATTGCAAAACAAATCAATTAAATGATAAATGCAAATTCAATTCAATGCTGAAGTGTAAATTTAATTAAATAAAATACATGTAAATTTAATTCAACGCTGAAGTGTAAATTTAATTAAACGATAAAATGTAAATTCAATTAATGATAAAATCTAAATTAAATGATAAAATGTAAATTTCATTGAATGATAAAATGTAAATTTCATTAAATGATAAAATGCAACTTTAATTAAAAGGCAAAATGCAAATCCAGTAAAATGCCGAACTGCACAGCAATACTGCGCTGTACGTGCACCTCAGAAACACCGCGAAAACCCACTTGAAGAATAAAACTGAATTTCGCAATTTTATTTTTTTTTATTTTTTTAATAAAATGTCACAGGGGTGTGAAGGGGAAATAAAAGAAAGAAAGAAATTCAAATCCCCGCAGTCCCCTGTTGAGTTTGGCCGGGAGAAACCGGAGAAGCGAAAAACAAATTAAAACAACTTCAATTAATTTAAATGAAGTTGCAATCGCTCGCAACCCTTGCAGGCCCCCCGGCTGTACATACAGCTCAAGGCTTGTCGAAACTTGAATTCAGAAATCCACTTGCGAAGGCGACTTCAAGTGTACATACACCTTAGCATTTGCATGCAACTGACTACTGCACGGGAAAACGTGCAACAAGAAATGTAAAAAGCCTTTTTGTCCAAAACAAAAACAAAAAAGAAACAAACAATTCCTTTTGAAGGCCTCTTGCGCCAAACGCAAGAACAAGAAACGGAGAAAAGGAAATGGACTTAAAACGGGAAGAGAAACGAAGAGAAAGTCCGGAAAACTCAACAAAAAAAGAGAACGCAAGGGAGTTTAAAAAGAAAAGACAAAAAAGTGGGGAAAACTCGCCTCCAGAATGTAGCCATCCGCGCGGCCAACCTGGCCAGGTCTGCTGCTGATGCAGGCGAGGAGGCGGCCAGTGTTGAACTGCTCCTCCAGCAGCGGATCTATTTTGGGAATGCCTTTATTTCTTCTTTGTTCTTGGGCGAAGAGAGTGTGTTTTGAAGGCGCTTTCTCCTCAGCTTCCCCCTGCGTCTTCTTGCCCACGTCCAGGCCGTAGTAGGAGCGGAACCTGCGGAAAGCGCGGGAAAGCAGCGGTTTTTCGGGACAAATTGGAGCCAAAATGCAAATAAAAGTCGAAATAAACTCCAATTAAACTTTTAATTCGAAAAAGAGAACTTCAGAAAGCAAAAAAGTGGGAAGCGGCGCTGCCGGGGAGTCGCGCGGGCGCGCGGAGCTGCCTATACACCTGAACGGCGCTGCGGTGTCACTGCAGCTCAAGTCGGCGAAAACGAAACCAATTTGAATTCCAACAACTCCAGATGAATTTAAAAGTCATTTTTTGCTTTTTAAAACCCACCAGGCCTTGAAAGGAGTGGCGTCGATGTGCACAATGGAGTTCTTCACGAGGGTGTTGGTCCGCACCAGCTCATTGTTGGAGGCGTTGTAGACCACGTTCAGAATGCGCGTTTTCCGGGCCACCTCTGTGCAGCGCAGCACAGCAGCTTTTTTCAATTTAAATTCAACTCTTTTTAATTCGAATTCCTCTTTAATTGAGTTCAACTCTTTTTAATTCAAATTCAACTTTTCTAATTCCAACTTCAACTGCCACTCTGCGGAAAACAAACTGGCCAGCCAGCAGCCCCAGCGGCCCTCCGCCGCTCCAAAGCGCAGAAAAACAGCGCCGCGGGGTGTACGTACACCTGCGCGGCGCAGTCACGCGGTGTACGTACACCCGGCGGCCGCGGGCGCTCCCCAGAGCCCGGAGGGATAACAAAGTTGAGAAAAAGGGAGATAAAAGCGATAAAAGAGATAAAAGGGAGAAAAAGGAAGAGAAAAGCAGGGCTAAGACCCACTCTGGCTGGCCCAGCAGTAGTTGCCGGCGTCCAGGCGAATGGCCCGGTGCTTCAAGTTGCCGCCGCGGCAGCGGACGGGGCGAACTCTTTTGGGGCCGAGTTTGGTGACGGCGGGGGGGCGGCCGAGTTCATGTTTGCGTTTTTTTTGGTGGATGGGGAAGCGGCCGCCGGTCTTGCGGTGCTTGTGCCTGCGGTCGCGCGAAATGCCCATTTTCGCAGTCCCAAACCCTAAACCCTAAACCCTAAACCCTCGAAAAAACTAAAACTTCCCCAGTGGACGCGATTCACTCCTGCAGGCCCGCGCAGATCTCCCGCGCGAGGCCCCGCCCGCGCTGTGGGGGCGCGCCGCCCCCACAGCCCCGCCCGGGCTGCATGCAGCCGCTTCCCGCGGCCCTCGCCCTGCCTTCTTGCATTAATTGAATATTATTTTGCAAATTTCATTTATTTTTCTCCTTTTTTTTCTCTTCTGCGCCTTTTACAGCCCCAGACGGCCCCCGCCGCCGGCCGGCCCCCGGGTGTGCGCGCGCGCGCTGCGCATGCACGCGGTGTACGTACACCTCAGCTTCTACAGCCCAACAGCCCAACTTCCAAATCCAAAACTTTCGGAAATCTTTTCGTCTTCAGCACTAAACAACTGCTTGCAACCCGGCCTTTTTGCATTTACTCACTAACAGAAGGGAGGATTACCTCCAAAGGCTCTCGGACTCACCAGCAGCTTTCTCTGCCACACCTCTTTGGGCACTCTGCATGCAGCAGCGCCCCAAGGGAGAATTCTTAGACGCAGTAAATGCGCAGTTAAGTCTGAGAGGGCCCTCGGCCCCAGTGGCCTCGCTTTGACTCGCTGTTGAGTCAATAGAACGCAACAAATGCCCCTCTCGAAAGCTTTCCTAAAAGGCTCTAGGCTTAGCTAGATCCACAGAGCGCCTCTGGAAGAGAAAAACTTTTGACAAAGTCTTTGGATGCGGGAATCTGCCGCCAGTGAAAGTATTCTTGACTTCTATTTGAGGTCGAATATCAATTCACGCACATTTTTTTTTGTTATTTACTTTGCACTCTTTCGGAACTCAAAGCCACAGCAGTGGCGAAACGCTCTACGGAGCAAACTAGATTCGTTCAATTTCTCTGGTGTTGTGATAAATAAATGGCAACAGCCCAGGGAACCGCTTATAAGCTAACTCAGATGCAGTGTCAACTCAGAAGAAGCTGTAGAGGCTTGAGTGTTTGCAAAGGATGCTGCATCAAGTCTTGAGGTACTGCAAATTTTTGACGTTGAAATGATCAGGATATCAATTTTCTTTAACTCAGTTGCCTTCCTCCTGAAATAATTTCAAGTCCCTTCAAGTATTGGACCCATTTCTGCAGCTTACTACTGCCCTGAGTTAATTCCGTCATGCCAGTAGCGAAGTTAGCAAGCTGCTTTGTTAGTCGCTCTTTGTAAGGGCCAAATTCGCCTTGATTATCTCTGTTTGTGCAATTTACCGAGAAAGATCAAGCAAAGAAAGATCTGCATATGCTGTCACTCAGCTGCTTCAATTTGACCATCTTTGGAACACTTGAATGATGGCAAACGCGAAATGTCTTTTGACATTTCCCGCTAGTCAAAGTCCAATTGCTTAAATCCAGTACGTTTTGCATGATGGTGTCGCAGTGTGCTGTTTGGTGAATTAATGTGCAGCAATAGCTTCTTTCTTTTTGAGACAAAGTACATCTCTACACTAATGGATACATGAGAGTGCCCGAGAATGTGCATCTGTTTTAGCAGCTGCTCACAAACTTGTAGGGCCTACAGTTTATCTAATTAATGCATTTAATGCCAAGGTGTTCTCATATTTGTTCTGAAATGCCAGAGTGCAGTTCACAGCTGCACGATGATGCCATATGCGTGCGTTCTATACGGCTGCTGAGCAAACCAGTATTAATTTTGGGCAAAACAGTAATACTACTGGGTGAAGCTTTACATTCAAAGTGCAACAGTATTAGGCAGGTTCACTAAAGAGGAAACGATTCATAGTTGTAGCGCTACACGGTGTCCCAGCGAAAAAAAATATATGTTGATTTGCCAGTCTGTGTTACCAGTAGATGGACACAGCACTACCAGTGCATGTGGAGTCTTAAAAAGGTATCGTAAATCTTTGAAGTTCTTCGAAAAATTGTGCAGCGAACAAAATGGAAGGGAAGGGTTTGTCCTGTCTTTGCAGGGCACAAGCGCTGTAGAAATGCAGCAAAGGAACCAATTGCCTGAGTAGCATTGGGCAGCTTGCACAGGGAAATTGCAAGATGTATCAATTCGCCTGCAGGTTCTAGTTAGCCATGAACCCTTTACAACATGCATTGCTTTTCCCAGCCTAAGTTGGGGCATAGATAATCGAAAGGCCTTTCGACGTAATAGCCTCTCAAGAACGCTAGCAGGCACCACCCATATTTTTCGCAACTCGCCATTTCGAAAAGCTCTGATAATTATATTTTGTTTGGCGATAAAATAATTGTGAAAGGCGCGTAGTTCTACGTGATGGTTCCCATAGCCGTTTCTCCCAAGTACATAAAAAAATACGTTATAAAGACAAAGCAGCTTGCTAACTTCCCTACTGGATGGCATTGAAAAATATGTAGACGGTTTACCAGTAGAATACCCCACAGCAATCACACTGTGACTACTACAATGTAGCCCAGAAATGGCCTTCAGGGTCGCATATTTCGGAGCATGCAAACTGGCATATTAAATACAATTAATTGCTAAAAAAAGAAATCCTAGGGGTAAATGCCTAGTGTGTTGTGCATGCGTGCCTCAGTTTTGGGTCAGCCAAAGGGTGGGTTTCTCTCTGCATTGGATGCTTGAACACTAAAGACAGCAACTGTTACTCCGGAATTTTTGTTCGCACGACCTTTGCGCCAATAAGACAAATTGCCACTCCATGCAAATGCTGTAGGTGGCGTCAACCTGTTTCCCGAGAAGCTCTGCACTTCAGACCTTACACGATTTGTGAGATGCTTCAAATGGATCTGTTCAAATGCCGTCGCTCCGCTGCTATCCACTCAGATCCGCTCATCTTCTCATACTAAAGGACACCCCCCGATACTGCAAGCAGCGGTTTAATGCTTCTCCGCTTTTCATCTTTGCAAGAATCTCGAATTTACTACACATCTTGACCTTCCTCTTCTCTTTGCAGCAAACAAAGACATTGCAGCATTGGGCTGGGATGCTTGTTGTTGCCGTTTGCAGATTTTCTCTACTACCTTCTCTCCTGGGGCTTTCTTCCAATTCTTGATGTAAAATTTGTATACACAAAAGATGTTATAATCATGTGTGTAGAAGAATATACTGAAAGAGTCATAGCCCTCCACTCATGAGAGGCCTTTGTGCCAACTTGTGCCAACGCGCACCCCAAGGTAAAGATAGTGACTCCAAAGAGTCCAAGACAGAAGGGAAAGCAGAAAAACTGAAGAAGCTGTGCAGAGAGAAAGGGCTGGCAACTGCAAGGACTGGAGCAAAAAGAGACGTGCGACAGCGTAGGCAAGCAGCCCCAAAATGACAAACTCAGGACACTCACTCCTGGCGACTAGAGATGGTCTTTCTTGTTTAGGGTTTTAATAAAAGTATGTCAGGAAGATACTGGACAGGCCGCTCTCACACAGCAGCTCGTGGATGTCATGACTGTGGTTGCAGCTTTTGTCCATGCGCAGTGCTCCGCACTTCGACAATTAGCGTCAGTGTGAGATAATATCTTTTATTGCTGCTTCACCAACACAGCAGCGAAGGGAAGACAGCAACGGCACACAAGACCTTGTCCAAGTGGGCTCAGCTGGGCCTGCTTACTGGCCCAGAGTTGGAGAAAAAGCTGATGAGAAAGTGTGTCCATGGCTCAAGAGCCCTTGCCACGTTGCAGATGCAAGCCAGTGGGCTTCTGGAGCAGCAGCACTGGCTAACTCTTCGCGCTGCTGCCTCTCTGCTTTGACTAGCCAAGTAGGTGTTAAGGAAGAGTCGTCTCAGGGTCACCAGCAGTGCTGGTGTCTGGCCTGGAGAGCCAGAGACATTGGCAGGCTCTTGAGAATGTTTTCTAAAGGTGCATCTATTGAGGTCTACTGTGGCCTTCAATGGCTGAGAAAGCTGCGAGGAAGTGTCTACTTGCACGGGGAATTCGGAGCTGACTGAAGCAGCCCTCCAGCGACGCTCTGGGCAGAGGCTAACATAATAAGATTCTTGAAATGATTCTCTGAAGGGCTTAGAAGAAGTCTATCTTACGATCCAGAAGTACTCAGAGGATGTCTTTGAGGAATTCGAGCACAGGACATTGCCCTGCTTCCTGCTGCACTGCTCCGTGTGGCTGTTCCTCCACTGCACTGCAGGAAGCTGCTGACATTCTCCGGAAAAAGGACTTATGGTGGCTACCGCGGGCGTTTTCCGTGAAGACTTAGAGTGGCTGTTCAACTTATGCACGAAGGCTACTGGGTGTGCAAGCTTGGACACCATTGACATCCGTGCACCGCTAGGAGCCTCTTATTCCACTTTCACAGCTCTAAAATTAAATCCTAGACACATTTTTCAGCTGCACTTTGACAAAAAGGCGTTTTGTTGCAGCTACAGCTGTCGCCTGCTTAGCCAGCGGCGCCGTTCAAGTTTTCAGTCGCGCTGCGATTAGCGGCGCTGGGGGCCGTGCAAATCCCCTTTGGCTGAATTTTTAAGAAAAGAATTGGAAAAGGAAAGACTGCTTCTCGAGGAATGGAAGCATTGTTCAGACAGGCAGGCAGGGAGCTTCGGGAACGCGGGGTGTGGAAAGCTGGGATTCTGTCTACACTTGCGCGGCTGCGTGCGAGGCCCGAAGGGGCGGGAGCGAGGGATAATCCGAGGAAATTCAGTCTTAAAATATCCGTAATTAAAGTTAGCGTTGTGAATTTTGGGTTATGCAATTCTGCTATCTGCGTTTGGGCTGCACTGGCAGTGTGGCACGTCTTTGCGTGGAAAGCGCTGCGAGCAGCGCCGCAGGCCCCCTTGGGTCAGAAAAAGCGGCGTTAAAGGTGCAGATCGTCTAAAGAAAGACATCAAAGTATTCATTGAAGTGGATTGCGGACTGTGCAGGCCAGTCTTTCGGAGTAGGGGGTTCCCCAGTGAGTGAGGGAGGGGATCAGGACCGACTCACAGTGCTGGGGGACTGGAGGTGCGGAACAAGTATTTCAGTTTTCCGGAGAAACCCAAAGTTCTTTCAGGTTTCATTTTTAACATGAGAAGACTATTTCTCGTAGGTTGGAGGGCATTTTTAGAGGTCTGTGAACGCTTCCTGGGCGCGCGTCGATGTTAGTCGATCGGTGTCCGCCTGTAGGCAACGGATTTAGGGGCTCTCGCTAATTAGAAGGTGAATAGCTCGGCCTTTTCGAAGCTTCTTAATGCTTTTTTTATCATCTTGAAGACCGAGGGCGGCGTCGGACCATCCCGCACGAGCTGCAGCTGCCTCCTGCAGGGCGCCACCGCCAGTGCTCTGGGCCACATCACTGCACTTTTGCGATGCCGGCGGCTTTGTTTCTTCAAGAACAAGACTTGCAAACTCTCGAGGATGTCGTAGGCGAAGAGAGGGGCCCCGGGGGCCTCCGGAACCTCGAAGATCGCGGCCACTTCCCCGTGCCCCTCGACTTCCCGAAGGCCCCCGCGCCCCACAGGCAGCGCCGCCGCACAGGTTTGGGGCTCGGCATTATTTACCTGCTGGTGGTGGGCCTCGTGGTGGGCCGGCGCATGCTGGCGCAGCCGCAGGGCGCCGCAGCAGCAGCAGATCCGCTCGAAGCAGCAGACCCCGCTGCCCCCCTTCCGCGGCCTGCTGCTGCTGCCGCTCCAGCAGCAGCAGGCGCTCCCAGCGAGGACCGCCCTGAGCAGCAGCAGCAGCAGCAGCAGCAGCAGCTGCTCGAGGCGGAGGAACTCGGGCCAGCTGCGAGGCCCGGAGCGTCCAAAGGAAAGTCGCGCGCGCGAGCAGCAGCAGAGGCGGCGGCGGCCGCAGTGAGCGGCCGCGCGCAGCAGCCCGCAGCAGCAGCAGTAGCAGCAGCAGCAGCAGCAGCAAGGGGGGGCGCGGAAGTGGAGGCGAAGCTGAAGAACGTGAGGGAAATGCTGGGGGCGGCGGGCGCGCTGGTGGAGGCGCTGGCGACGCCGGAGGCCTCGCGGCTGCTGCTTGGCGCCGAAGAGGAACTTCGAAAGGCCGAAAAACTCGAAAAAGAATTCGAAGAAGCTGCTGCTGTGGAAGTTCACGTGGAGAACGCGCTGAAGGAGCTGCGGCGGCTGCACGCGGCGGCGCTGCGGGAGGGCCGCGCGCTGGAAGAGGAAAACGAACAAGCCAGCCACATTCTGCCGCTCTGGGACCCCGAGTCCGAGACAGATCCTCCTTTTTTGATAAATGGTCAGTACGACTTGAGCGATTCGGTGCAGCGGATGCTGCACACGTTCACGTCGGTGACGGACATGTCGCAGGAGCTGTGCGAGGACTTCAACGATGTCAGTCGCTCGCTGCTGATCTGCGGGCAGTTCGACTGCGAAGGCGACTCCGAACTCTTGCGAGATGCTGCAAATTATATTCGCTACTTAAAACACAACCTCAGTGCGCAGCAGGGCATCAAACACGTGGCGGATCGGCTGCGCGAGACGATCTTCGCGGGGGTGAAGTCGCGGGAGCTGCGCAAGCGCGAGGCTTCGCTGGTGCTGCTGCAGGACGACACAGTGCAGCTGCAGATCTTCGTGCGGCTGGCGAAGGCCGACGAGAAGTCCCACTTGAAGAGCCCGGCGGGCATGCACGAGGGGGTGGCGCCGCTGGAGGTGATGCTGGGGGACGCGGAAACGCTGCTGGCCACCATGCGCATGCTGTTGAAGGAAATAGAAAACTGCAACTCGATGGAAACCATGTTTGTTGCTGCGGGTCAGTTCGACGAGATCGGCCTGACGGCCATGGAACTCATGCAGACTGTGCAGGAGCACGCGGCGACGCTGCCCAAGCACTTCGGAGGCATCGAGAAGCACATCCGCGTGTCAGTGGTCGCCGACTCGGGGCGCATTCACGAAGCCTGCGTGTCGAAGAGCAAGGCCGTGCTGGAAGTTCTCGAAAACGCGAAGAAAAAGCTCGAAAAAGGCCTGCAAAGCGACCAGAGCCCCAAGAGAGCTGCAGCGAAGAAGCTCGACAGCGGCATGTACGAGCAGCTGCTGGGGAGCGTGCAGGAAGCCACGGACCGCCTCAAACAAACTGTTCTGCAAACTGCAGAAACTCTGCAGACAATGCAGCAGGTGGAAGACGTCGGCGCCGTTTTGAACGCCCTGGAGGCGCAGGAGAAGAACATGCTGGATCTGCTGAGGCAGGAGGAAGAGGCGCACCTGCTGGTGCTGGACACCGTGTTTTTGGACTTAGTTGCTGAGGAGATTGGTAAGCTGGAGTTGTCTGCTGCCTTCTCCAAGTCGTGCGAACTGGCCGAGGCCTTTGGCCACAAGCAGTACTTAAAACTGCACCTGGAGCAGTTCGAAAAAGCCAGGCTGCACCTGCGCGACAGCCGAAGTGCTGTAGGGGTCGTGGGATTCATGGGGTTGATGCGGTCAGCTGTGAGTTCAATGCACAAGTCGATAGCTTTCAGCAACAAGAGGCAAGCGCTCAGCCGGGCGACTTGAACTTGTGCGCTGCTCCGAGAAAGGTTGTAGTCTGGCCCTTCTCTCGCAAGAGAGCCCCGGAAGTTCATTCCTGTTCTTCTCAAGTCCGCAAAAGTCCTTTCTTGTTTGCTTTCCGCCGCCAGCAGGCGGCGGCTGCACTGGTCGAGCGCGGGCCGCGGCCGCCTCGACCCTCCCGCTTTGTTGGAGTTCTTCTGCTTCTTTGAATTCAAATACTGTTTTTTCCATTTATGATGTTCAGGCGAGAGCGGTACTCCGTGGAAAGCGAATGAGTTTCTGCAGGAGTCCAACAGAGAACGCGTAGGCTCTTCCACTGGAGCATAGGCTCAAACTTGGCCACTGTAGCTGCGCTGCTGCAGTCCAAACCACTTCCTGCTGCAACAAACCACTGCCAAGTCGAAACTCTTCCACTGGGCCGCCGGCGGTAGGACCCACCACAGCCCTCGCCAGCAACTGAACAGAAAGTCGCAGCTTAGCGGGCAGGCGACGGACTTAGGGAGATTTAGCTGAGCATTTGCTTGCATGCAGCGGCGCTTTGTTTGTAGCTCGACTCCCTCCGTGGCTGCGCAGCAACAGAGGACACTAAGCTGCACTTTGTGCAAGTGTTAGCCTTAGAGGGGTTCTGGCTTCGCCGGATCCAGGGCTGCTCCCTCTAGGCTCCGTAGGCAGGTTTCTGCGCAGAGAGAAACATTCTCACGGGAATCCTGCTTTTAATTTGCGTCATATCCCTTTTATTGCGTTTCAAAGCTAAGGCGGCGTCTTGCGAAGCACTTTTATCTGCAGGATCGCCCACTTGTGTGCCTTTTTGTGCATGCTCAAGCAACTTTCGCCTCACAGTGCTCAGTGGCAGTCAGCCTCTGCAAGTCCTGGACTTTTTGCCTTATCTTTTTTTGCACTCTGGCGGCGCGTTCCGCGGAGGCTTTCCAGTGCTGCGTGCTAGTGCTGCCTGCTGCCTGCGGGGCGCCCCTCTGTGAGCAAAAGCCTCCGAAATGCGTGTAAAGTGCCTTTTCAATTCCAAGACGCTTTCCAGCGGCGTCGAACTCTTCAGAAATGGCCAGCAGGTCTGGGCCACCAGCTAGCACGTGCAGCAATGCGTAGTAACGCTGGCTCGGAAGCCCGCGTTGAAAAGTCCGTTCTAACGCGGGAGAGCCTAAGTGCTTTTCCCGGAGTCCATCTTTTCCTCGCGGATGGGCCAACAGGATATTTATTAGTTTTCTTAAAACTTTCTGCTCAAGTCCTCCCGGAGCAGCAAACAGCAAGGCAAAAGCCACTGCAAAAAGTAGCAATTCTTGGGGCCCCTGGGCCAAACAGGCAAATAGAAAGCTGAAACTAATTCTGCCACATAAAAGCACTTCAAAACTTTTTTAATTCTGTCCGAAAAGAGAGAAAAAGCGCAGATCGACTCAGAAGAAAAGCGAAAGTTGCACTGGCCGGGAGCCGCTGCTGCTGCTTGTGTCTATTCTTGCGTCTTTGCGTCTTTCTTTCGTTTTTTTCAACATTTATTTTCTCTCAATTTAACATTTTAAATTCTTTTTAAATTCTTTCGAGGTCTGTACACTCAGCTTTCCCAGGCTTTCGGCCTCCCCCTGGGAGTTCGCGAAAGTTGAATGGGCACTTCGTCAAATCTTAAACAGCAAAAACTAAATTTTCAGCTTCACCAAGTCTGGACTTTGGAGTCCTTGGTTTTGTTGCAGTTGTAAATCTTGCAACAGATTCTTAATTGCAGGACTGGCTAGCTGCTTGTGCAGGCCGCAGCCAGTGGCTAGCCACGGCTAGCAGCTAGCCACGGCTTGCAGCTAGCCAGCAGACTTGACAGCTAGATAGCTAACATCAAGCTGGCCCCGGAGGCTTTTGCCGGAGAGCAGCAGCAAGTGCCCCGCCTCGACTTGCAGCTTGCACTGCGCGGAACTAGACGCTGCTGCTGCTGCTGCTGCTGCTGCTGCTGCTGTTGCTGCTGCTGGCGGCAGTAGGCGCTGCAGCAGTTGCTGGAGCAGCAGGAGCAGCGCCTGCCGCTCTGCTCCTGCCATTGTAGTTCGCCAAGCTCCGCTGGAGAACACCGCCAGCAGCAGCAGCACAGCAGCAGCAGCAGCAGCAGCAGCAGCAGCAGCAGCAGCAGCAGAGGAGCAGCAGAAAGCAGCCCAAGTGCTGCAGCGCGGGGGCGCTCTGCAGTCACTGCCCCGGCGTGCCCGGCCGAATGCCCGCAGCCGCAGCAGCGTGCTGCAGCGCGAGGCGCTGGTGGCTCTCCGAGGCCGCCCGCAGCACCAACTCCCTGTCCAGCAGCTCCAGGGCCTCCTCCACTTCTTGCATGAATTGTTTGCCGAAGTCCAATCCTTGAGAGCCTTCTTGAACGGCCGGCAAGTACTCCCTGAGGGCCACATCCAGCCACTTCATTCGCACGGCTTTAGGGTTCACTTCGAGCAGCATGGGCCCCTCTCCGGGGCCCCAGGGGCCCCCCGGGGGGCCCCCCGGGGGCCCCCCCGCGGGGCCCGCGGGGGCCCCGGGGGGCCCCCCGGCGAGTGCGGCGTTGGGGGCCCCCGCGGGGGCGGCCCAGGGCGCGGGGGGCGCTGGGGAGGCGCCG